TCCGACATTGGCGTCAATGGCCTTGAATTTAGGCACGCTTCGATTCTGCATAATAAAGTTTGAAATTCGACACGAGTTAGCACATGCGTACCGATTACGCGTTTCAAGTGATACTTCACGTTTTTTACATTGGCTTCCCATACCCCGCCGAAGTGCGGTGCTGCCGGAGGGTTGAAGTGCCAGGTAATGCGGTCATTGGCAATTTGACTTTTCAGAATAGGATCCTGAATAATAACGCGGAAAGCATTTCGCAGCTCCTTGTCGGCACCTATGAAGTTCGTGCCGTTATCACTGTAAATGTGGGATGGAAGCCCACGTCGACTTGTAAAGCGAGACAGGGCAGCGAGAAAACCTTCTGTCGAGTAATCATCTACACATTCGAGATGAATTGCCTTAGTAGTGAAGCATACAAAAATTGCAATGTAGTGCTTCATGGTCTTTTGACCGCGCGCTGCCCGCAAGGTCAAGGGTATTGGTCCGGCATAATCAACGCCGGTGCAGGTGAACGATGCGGACGGCGCAACTCTGTGTTCGGGCAATTGACCCATGAGTTGGTCTGCGGTGACGGCTCGGTGCCGCTCACAAGTAATGCAGCTTCGAATGTACTTTCTAACCTGAGAACGAGCGGAAATTATCCAATAACGTTGCCGTAATATGCGAAGCGTTAACTGAGTGCCGCCATGAAGGGCGGCCGTATGTGCATTAGCAATCAGCAACTGTACGATTCGATGATCAGCCAGAATGATCGGGTGACATTCCGAATAGGGCAACAGAGCGTTCTTCAACCGCCCACCTAGATGTATTAATTGATCTTGCCCAAGAAATGGGCGTAACGAGCTTAGTCGGCTTGATTTTGAAATAGAAACTTTTCGTTTTAACGCTGACAATTCTGAAGAAAACAGTTGGCGTTGAACTTGTTCAAGCCAAAAGTGTTCGGCATGATGGAGTTCGGCCGCTTCTAAAGACGAAAGATTCAATGAAGTCCCCTGTAATCGGTTGCGTAAATTGGTTACAAATCGAAATAGATATGCTGTAACCCGTATCAATTTTGTCCATGTTGAAATGTCGTTCGGGAGATTCCATGTAGTGACATTGTCGGTAAGATGCACCGACGCCGAGGAGGATTCCTCCAGTAAAGCGTTAATCGATATGTCTTTGCTTGTCGATTGAATTGGCCACGTCGAAGAATGAGTGCGGAGCCAGGACGGTCCAGAAAACCACAAAGAGTGATTCATAAATTCGGTAGCAGACAAGCCGCGCGAGGCGCAATCTGCCGGATTCTCAGCTGATTTGACATGATGCCATTTAATTGTGGGAAGAGTGGTTTGGATTTCCGATACGCGAGTGGCGACATAAGTACGCCACCTTGAAGGGTGTTGAGTTATCCAAGCTAGGGTAACAGTGGAGTCCGTCCAACCGTACACAGGAACGTTTGACAGATTGAAAGACCGATAAATCCATTTAATCAGTCGACTGAGTAAAACTGCTGCGTTGAGTTCAAGTCTAGGGATACTGAGCGTCTTAAGAGGCGCAACCTTGGTTTTAGCGCATAGCAACGTAATCTGAACGTCGTCAAGGATCTGAGAACGCGCAAATACACCATAGCGGCGTACGCACGCTTTGATGCGTCGGCAAAACCATGTAGTTCCATTCCTAAATTATCTCGATGCGAACCTGTCCATCGTGGAATTTTAATTGTTTCGAGCTTGGGTAAATCAGAATAGTATGAAATCCAGTGCTGGAGAAGATCAGGGGGGAGCGGATCGTCCCAGTCGATTTTTGCGAGCCAGAGCTCTTGAAGCAAAATTTTAGCCGTAATTACTACGGGCGACGCCCATCCGAGTGGGTCGTATAGCTTTGCAATCAACGACAAGACTGAGCGTTTTGTGTTCGCACCAGAGGTGCCAGAAGATACCTTAAAACAGAATGAATCAGTGTGCGGCGACCAAGACAGCCCAAGCACCTTCAGTGAGTCATCGCTTTTAATAGCGAGATCCGATTGCCGCCTATCAAGCGGAATGTCTGCCAGCAACTCCGAAGAGTTTGCAGTCCATTTGCGTAGATCAAACTGGCCACGCTTCATGAGCGCAATGAGTTGATCTCGAGTTTTGATGGCGTCGGAGATTTCATCCGCGCCGAAGAGAGTATCATCAACGTAGATTGAGTCGCGAAAAATCGTTTGTGCGAGGGGGAACTCGTGCCCGTCCTCCTCGTTTAGTTGTTGCAATACGCGCATGGCTAAATATGGAGCACAAGCGGTGCCGTATGTAACGGTATTTAATTGGTAGTGATTGATATGTGCACAACCCGGGGGTTGCCACAGTATTCGCTGATAATCTCGATCTTCATGATGGACCGAGATTGTCTGTACATTTTCGCTATGTCAGCTGTGTACACGTATTGAAATAATCGCCAGCGAAGAACTATTGCGGCTAAATCTTGTTGGAGTTTTGGACCGATCATAAGATGGTCGTTTAATGAAGTGCCGTTTGATGTACGGCAGGAAGCATTGAACACCACGCGTAGTTTCGTGGTGGTACTGTGTTCGCGAAGGACAGCATGATGCGGTATGTAAGCCGCGTCCGAAAGATTAGAAGTGGAGGGTTTGATCTGGGTCATGTGACCCAGCTCCTCGTAATCTGCTAAAAACGCATGATAGAGCGTTCTAATTTCAGACTGTCGTGACAGCCGATTTGTTAATTTGGCGTGAAGCACTGAAGTGATTTGAAATGATTCACCTATACTCGGCGGTGAGCCATTCTTAAACGGCAATCGTACCACGTAGCGGCCATGTACGTCGCGCTTGTGAGTTGCAGCAAAATGTTGCTCACAACGTTGTTCGTCCTCCGTTAGCGGAGGCTTGGAATCAGAAATTGTCTCGTCTGTCCAGAATTGTTGGATGACGGGAGCGAGGTCGTCTTCAACGACGCAATTGTGAACGTCAGCCGGAGGATGAGTTGCATCCGTGGGGCCTGTTGGTCCGGAGAGTATCCAGCCGAACAGAGTGGACTGCGCTGTCGGGTTCCCAGGCGGCCATGACGAATGTCACCGATTAGCAGAGCACCGTATAAATCGGCCCCGATTAGTAAATGAATTTGGTGGGCGCTCGACGGATCAGGATCTGCAAGTTGCAATCCGCGCAAATGTGGCCATGAATTTATTTCCCGGATCTGAGAGGAAGCGTATGAAGTGATTTTTTCATAGGCGTATGCCCATAACGAGACGGATTTTCGCGGATTGAAACTTGGAGAGAGAGATATGTGAACCCGCGAGCGAGCCGACCCGCTGTATTTTTCCCCGAAGCATCGAATCTGCAGATTAGCGCGTTGACGCCTGGTTCGCAACGTTTGACATAAAGATTCGCTTATGAAGCTGTATGTGGATCCCTGATCCAGAAGGGCACGCACCAGTGTAGTACGTCCTTCTTGTGTCCGCACGATTACCCACGCAGTAGCGAGGAGAATATTCGCAGGCGAGCGCGTTTTCGGCGATACGGATTGTACCGTAGCTGTGACGGGAGACGCCCTTTGTACGAGTGTCTCTGATTTCGTGTCGGGTAATTGCTGAGACGCGTCATCCTTCGATTCGGCTTTAAATAATTTATGTAATGTCGTGTGATGTCGTTTCTGACATCGTAAGCATCGACCTCGTGACATACAGACGTTCGCGGAATGACCTTTCCGGAAGCAATTTCGACACAACTGTTTCTGGTCGATAAAATTAATTCGTTGATCTATCGATCGTGCGAGAAATTTATCGCATTTCGAAAGCCAATGAGTTCCGGAACATTCAACGCAGTTTAATGTAATTACATTATTGACGGTACCGCGCGGTTTTCCATTGCGAGAATTGGACGCCGAATTTCTATTGACATGCCCTGATCGGTCAGTCCACGGATGCGTACGGTCATAAAATCATGAATTTCTTTATAAGTCGGGCATTCCGACAGGCTACCACATTTTAAATTCCATTCGGTTTTAGTTTTAGAACTAAATTTGCGTGATATCAAATAAACGAGTAGATCATCCCATGATTTGACCGGCCGATCAAGGCTGTCTAAAGCAGCGAGAGATGCTGCTACTGAGTCGCGAAGTTGGCGTAATTCCGCGGCGGTTTCCGATCGCATTATCGGGAGTTCCGCAAATGCATGGATGTGAGATTGAATGATCGCAAACTTATTGTCGTATTCGTCGGTTAGCAGTTGCCACGTAGCAGCATAGTTTTCATCCGCAATTCGAATATTCGCTATTAATCGCGCTGCGTCACCGGTGACACTTGTTTTAAATAGTGTAATTTTTCTGTATTTGACAGACAATCGTTATTAGTCACTAATGACTCGAAAATACCTTTAAATTTTCCCACTCCGTAAATTTGCCGGAGAATTTAGGCAATGAAATGCGCGGCAAATGTATCGGACGACGCGTGTCGGAATCAAAAATAGACGATCGATCGCTCGTATTATGCGTAGGAGGGGTTGGACTTAGCTTTTTGATGGCTTCGTTGATCAGGTCCACGGTGACGTCATACGTTTCTTCCGCAGCATAGAATTTCTCCTTGACGAAGTATGGAAGTTCGCTTTTTTCCTTGGGCGTGACTGCATGCAGAATCCTCACATGAATAGCCTTGCACGATGACCATTGATCGTGAAGCTTCTTCAATCGGCTCTCCAGTTTGATTACAGTTGTCTGTGCTTTGGACAGCTTCTTGACATTCACCAAACTGCGATTGATCGCGTCGATGATGAATGATTGTTCCGTGAGCAGAAAATTAATGGACTCTGTCATTGTAATAACGTAGATAAGAGTCAACTGATTTGATTGGAAGCGATAGTGCACCGCAGGTAGCGAGGGATGCGGCGGCCGATCAGCGGCGCTTCACTTGCTTAATATTTGTTGTTCCGGTGCAACAGCACTCACCGAATGGCGTGTAATATCGTGATACTCATTTACTGAGAGATAGCCAGCTCCGGAGCACTGTTTCATGCACGATAGGTGTTGATCGCCACTGTAGGGCACTGGTATTGTCGCCAGTGTTGTTTCACGTGGGCACTGTGTGATTGTGCGCACGGCTAGATGGGGCGCGCACGTGTTTACTGGCGTGGGTCGCACGTGATTTGCGAAGTCCGAGGAATGTTTCAGATAATGCCGACGACTATGTAATGCCGCAATTTTTTGAGATTGCACTGTACACTGTACTATATGATAAGGTTCAGCTTGCAGTCCAATAACGCCAAGAATCCGGCTCGAAGGACCAAAAAAATGTTCGCGAGATTTTTTATGCACGTTGCGTGGTTCTCTTGATCGAGAGTGAGCTTGCGTTCTCTTTCCGTATCGCGAACGCTTTTAATTATGGATTGTTTTTGGGATCTTGAGATTGGCGGTTAAGGAGAGAGGCAAAGCCGATGTTCACTAAGCACCGTCACGTATTTTATTGTACAGAAGCACAGAATAATGGATACTGATTATCGGAGCGTGTGATCTCTCGCTGCCGGTCGTCGTCGGACTGACTCACAAACACCGTGCCTCGGCGAGGTCTCGGCGAGAGAGCGAGAACAAAAGCCAATTTCTGACAAACAAAATTCCTGAGCTCGCACATACAATACGAAGATTCGAGAATCGTTCTCGAATATGATTTTCAATTAATGATCGCAGAAATCAATAAGAGTTTCCGCAACAAGCTCGAACCTTGAATTTTGTCTCAAATATTCAAAAAACAAGAAATAAGAAATGTAGACTATTTTTACCATTTGTTTTTGTCCTTCCTCATTAGTTTTTAATGCGATGTCGAAATCAAGTAATTTTGTAAATTTCTTGAAAGGTTTGTTCGGAATAAGAGAAAAAGTACTACTACAGCTTGAACCAGATGCTGAGAGCAGTGGAAGCGAATTATTTGTACGCTCTAATTGCTTTAAAAATGCATTTTGTTGTTCCAATAATTTTTTAATCGCAATCGTGTTTTGCAGGATTGAAACAATATTCTGACTATCTGAAATATAAATTTACAAATTATATTACTATAAACAAAAGAACAATAAATATGAATGATTACCTGCTGGAAAATTTTCAAAAATGATATCGGTTGGTATCATATTATTTACTGGATTAACAGCATCTTTAGGATCTAAATAATGGAAATTTTTAGTATCATTATTGTATTTATTTAATATTAAATTAATAAATTAATAGACACTATATATATATTAAGCGGGATTACTTAAAATCGACTTGTATTGTTAAATACCTTATTGTACCAAAAATTATTTGTTTATACCTTCATCAGAAGTTACATGGTCTTCAGAGGCAATATTATTCTTTTTATTTTGACTCACGTTTATTGCTGTTTCATCCATATTTCGATATCCTTGTCCAAGTTTTGGTTATCATCATTAATCAAATCTAAATGTATAAAAAATTACACTATTAAGCATTACTTTATTTGCAAGTTAAAAAAATAATGTTAAGATTTATAAAATAATATATATATTTATTTATTGTTATAATCATTTGTCAACTGTTCATTTTCTAAATGCAAATCCATGACAGTCATTAACGGAGATGGTGTCATTCGCGAATTTGAATCGTCATCATTTAAGTTGTTTGCTGTAACTGTTGGAATGTTTTCTTTTTTCTTTTCCCTCGCCTATTGCGAACATGATGTATCTGATGTATCGGTTCGAATTTTTTTATGTACAACATCTATAGCTTCCTTATATGAATCTGTAATTACAAATTATTTTATTAATTGTATATACAGGGTGATTCAAAACAACCGTTTGTCCTTAAAATGTCGTATTCCTGACTCAATTCTAAGACGATTTTTCCTTTGCCAAAATTTTATCCGAAGCTTAGTTTTTGAAATATAAAAAGAAATAGTTAGCGAATTACAGCACGAGTACGGGCTGTAATCAGGAGCGGCGCAACACATTATCCGACGCGGGCGATTACGTGGGCGCTCGAAGCGATCAGCTGTTTGTTACACGCGGCGTTTTGTGTGTGTGTGTGTGTGCGTGTGTGTGTACGCGTATACACACACACACACACACACTCTCTCTCTCTCTCTCTCTCTCTCACTGATTGTTACCTTGTAGAGATGTTTGATGTCCTTTGACGAATAATTGTTGCCTGACTGGATACAATCCGATATTGACACACTGTGACACACTGCATAATGAAATCATTTTTTTGTAATAAATTCTATTGACACTTTGACTCACGCACTTGATTAAAAATTATTGTAATAAATAACTGATTACAAATTACAACACATAATCACAATCTGAGAGAATTTTCTCTTAGAATTTGCCCTGAAAATTGTGGTAATCGTAGGATAATATTGTATGGAAAAAATTTTATTAGAATTCCTCTAATTAATATTTATCACATTCAAAATAATAATATCTATCACAATAAAATATGAAACATGTTTTATTAATTTTACTAAACCGTAAAGTAAAATTAATGAAATATATTTTATATTTTATTGTGATAAATATTATTATTTTGAATGTGATAATTATTAATCAGAGAAATTCTAATAAAATTCTTTCCATACCATATTCTCTTACAATTACTATAACTTTTAGGGTAAATTCTAAGAGAAAATTCTCTCAGTGTTTTGATTAATTATTAAAAATTACTTGTAAAAACGCGCGGCGCGCACAGCACACGTTACTCGATGCGGACGGCAATAGTTTACACGGCAAGGACACGACAATCATAATCACAATCTAAGAGAATTTTCTCTTAGAATTTACCTAGAAAATTATGGTAATCGTAGGACATTATGATGTGGAAAGAATTTTATTAGAATTTCTCTACTATTTATCATATTAAAAATAATAATATGTATCACAAGAAAATATAAAATATGTTTGATTAATTTTACTATACAGTTTAGTAAAATTAATCACACATATTTCATATTTTATTGTGATAGATATTATTTTTAATGTGATAAATATTAATCAGAGAAATTTTAATAAAATTCTTTTCATACCGTATTGTCTCACAATTACCATAACTTTTAGGGTAAATTTTAAGAGAAAATTCTCTCAGTGTACCGATTAATTATTAAAAATTACTTGTAAAAAGGCACACGTTACTCGATGCGGACGACAATTGTTTACACGGCAAGGACACGACAACAGACTGCGGCGACGGACGACGCGACGCGTCGCGACGCTTCGCGACACGTCTAGACGATAACAATCACGCGGCGTTGCCGAACATGTGATTGACGCGAGACATGTATTAAAACGTATAATAATTATGTTATTAAAAAAGGCATATTATAACGTATTATAATTTTTTACGTTATAATACATTTTTTTTAATGACTTAACATTATCCGCCCGTTTTGCCCTTTCTTTTTAAGCGAGACGTGAGAAAAATAATTATGTTTTGCGAACAAGATGTTCCATGTATAAATGTATTGGTCGCTCTGAAAAGAGCGGATTGACTTTGGTCGCTCTGAAAAGAGCGGATTGACTTTGGTCGCTCTGAAAAGAGCGGATTAACTTTGGTCGCTCTGAAAAGAGCGGATTAATTTATAATAGGTGCTCAAAATGACCACCATCCATCCTTATGCAAGCTCTCATGCGTTTAAATAAATTTAATTGCACGTTCTCCATTACTTCCTCTTCGATATTCCAAATTACATATCGCAATCTGGTTTCTAAGTCGTCGACGTCCTCGGGAAGCGTCTTCGGGAAACGATTTACTTTTTTCAGAAAATTTTCGCAAAACGTTCGTCTTGATAATCTTCTGGTCGTAAATGTTGCACGCGTGTGTAATGAAATGCGTGCAACTTTTTTTCTTGTTTGCTCGAAAGGACGCTGCCAGTCTCGTTTTGTCTCTGAGTTCTTCGTATGACGGGAGCCGATTGATGATTGATTGCATTGTCGATCTGCATCTTATATTTATACGATTCGCGGGTGGCCGCTGTCGCGGGTGTCGCGTGCCGCTATTCGACGCGGAAGGCGTGGAGGGGGAAATCGCGACACCCCGCGGATTGTATAAATTAAATGAAGATTGATAATGCAAACAATAATCTTTCGATTATTACAAGAGTTAAGAGGACGATATGGCAGCGTACACAAACGAAGAATATTACGATATGCTAATGGCACTCGGCGAGTGTCATGGGCAGTATCACGTAGCTGCAAGAAGATACGCCGAATTATATCCAAATCGAGCAAGACATCCATCGGCTCCTGTTATACTTCGAGCAGCTCAGAGATTACACGAGACTGGCAGTGTCCTTCCGGATAAACACGATACTGGAAGAAATCGCAATGCAAGAAATTTGCGAAATACGGAGCGAATTGTACGTGCTTTCGAAGATAATCCTGAAACGAGTATTCGAGTGGTTGCTCGAGAACACAACTTTTCTTACTCGACGGTACAAAGAACGCTCAAAGAAGAAAAGTTGCACGCGTTTCATTATACACGCGTGCAACATTTACGAGCTGAAGATTATCAGGCAAGAAGAACATTTTGCGAAAATTTTTTGAGACAAGTGGATCGAGATCCCAGATTTTCTTCCCGTGTGATATTCAGTGATGAATCACTATTCACACAAGAAGGTATTTTTAACTCGCACAATATGCATTATTGGAGCGAAGAAAATCCCAGAGTAACGCGGCTCAAAAATTTTCAAGTACGTTGGAAAATAAATATCTGGGCTGGAATAATGGGTACCCAAATACTTGGGCCCGTTATTCTACCAGATATTTTAACTGGCCAGACGTACGTGGAACTTTTGAAAGAAAATCTGCCCGATTTTT